GAATTCAAATAATTTCCTGCAAGAATTTGAAAAAATTCAAATAAATTTTGTTCAAAAAATTAATGTTAGAATCAACCAAACCCACAACCCGCGCCCGGCACTGCGGCGGCGCGCGTGTAGTGGTTTGGGGTAAGGTTCACATTGTCCATAACTCCTCTTTTCTACAAATGTAGGGTGTCCTTTGAAGCCCAACCCAAATGTTGCCACCTAGAATTTATATACATACACATGCTCTTTTAAAGTTTCAATGTAGGACAAGCCATTTCAAAAAAACCTACATTTTACTTCTTGAATTGTCTATTTCACGAATCCGAAAATGACATCAAGTTCTCATTGACTGATAAATGGTTTTAACAAACCGTCTTCACCATGTGACTTGCCATGCAGTAAGGAACACGTCACCTCTTTGGACTCACCTCAAAAGACGTATAGATCCCACTCAAATTTGAGCTCAAAATTAGCCTAAAATAAAGCTATAAAACCATTATTTCCAACCCAACATTCAGATAAAGATGTAATTTTATTTTTGTCTAAAATCCTAGCACGGATCTAAGCCACAGTCCTCCCAGATAGATCGAATGAAAAAAAAGGGACAAAAGATAATTTTTATTGTTATAGTTTGGGAACTAGAAGCTGAACTTCCTTTTGATTCTCTCCGAAGATGGCCAAGGGAAAGATCAAAAAAATAAAATAAAATAAAATGTAAAAAAATAAAATAAAGGCACTAGCTGCAATCAAACTCAGCACAATTTGCAAACTATGAAAAAGGCTATTTAAATAACAAGTGGGTATATTAAATTGTCTCAATACATTAAACAGTAATTACACGTGCTTAAACATTTCATGTTTGTTTATTTGAAAATGGTTTGATGGTGCTACCCGCAGGTAGGCTAAGACGTGGATTTGCCACCCTCGGGTGGGCTTAGAAAACATGATTTTGCCACCATCTAGTGGGCTTAAAACTCACATTTGATTTGTTCCAATCCAAATAACCCAACCTTCATCCACAGGCATTCAGGCAGTTATATCACATAAGCATATAGCCTCATGGTAAGCATGCTATTCATGGCAGTCACTCACACGCATGCAAGGATGCTAAAGCATAAAAACTTACCGAGTACTCCAAGCCAAAACAGAAGATAATTAGAAATCCATGCATGATCTTAATTATACAGAAATGCCTAATACAACACATGCAAAAATGCCACTAAGATAGGCTCGGCTATTCTAAACATGGCATATGAAATGCTACAACTAACATGTATTCAACTTTGGAATTGAAATACAATGCAGTTAGTATGATGCGCCGAGCCCGGTGCATGCAAGATAGATGAAATGAATGCAAACATGCTATCATACTGTATGCTAATTGAAACATGCCCTAATCTAACCATCATAAGCGGGTAAATAAAAGGGAGAAAGACGTGGGGTTGGAAGACATACATCACACACACACACACTTATTACAGTTGTGCCCTCGCGCAGAGGATCCGAATAAATAATATACAGTCCCAAATAATTACAGTCCAAATATATACAAAACCCTAATTAATTAACAAAATAGATTAGGAAAGCAATAAATTGGCATGCAAGCCAGGGACTGCCTCAAATCCGCTCCAGATGATGAATGATGTATGCTCGGGTTGCCTTGTGCGGAGAATCCCTGGCGATGCCCCGATTTGTCTCTGTTTGCAATTGTTTTTGGAATGCGTGCCGAGCTCCGGAAGGCTACTGATTTCTGATTTTCTGTAACAGAGAGCAACAAAGGGGCATGACAAAGTATTTTCACATATGTATGTATGACTACTCTTCAAGGAGTGTAGTCCTCGATCCTCATGCCACCAATCACGCATATCGATGCATGATGGCCGAGGAGTCGAATTGCATAACACAATATGAAATGAATGCACATATAAACACAACAAGACCTAAACTCCATCATGGATAATCCGGAGTGTCGGTGACTGGGAATTGAGACACGTTCCGTCACTTGAAGTACGAAACGTCCCTTGTTTCCCGTGCTCGGGCTAACTCCTATCCCAAACACAATGCAATATGCATGACATGCATGAATGCAATCCTAACATGCAACTTAGCATACACAATGCTATGAATGGCATACACGATGCACGAGGTAACATGGCATACACAATGCGCTAACATACAACCTAGCATACACAATGCTATGAAATGAAATGGCATACATAATGCACAATGAACTTATAGCAACATGAATGGACCTCAGCCACACTCACATCAGTAGTCATTAGATGAAAATGAGACACTCGAAATGCGTGCACACATGCACGCAAACCGAGGATCGATCCCAAGGCACAAATGCCACTCTAACAAGGCATGACAAGGCACGAAGTATGGCATACAAACATGTAAGTTTCAGCACTGAAATGTGATGCAAAATGATCCCAAAACATGGAAACATGGCACCCGATGCATGGAATGGCCCCGAAACACAAAACTAGGCATACGCATTGGCCTATAGCTATACAAAGCATGCATTATTTTATCATGAAGCATGAAGACAGATGCAAGACAGTTCCAAAACATGCATATTTCCAGTTTATAACAAGTCCCAAAGATGAATGCAAATAGGGCTAATCTATCATGCAAAAATGGCCCTAAAATAGAGATTAAACACAAAGGGACAGCAACTGGCCCCAAATGGAAAAGAGCCCTTCAACAAAGTTGAAGAGGGGCTCAAAACAGAGCACTTTACAGTTTACATCAAGCCACGAAAATAATCAAAGATAAGGCCAAACTATCATGCAAGAAAAGGCCTAAAATAGGGATAAAGAGACAAGTGGCAGCTGTTGTTCTCAAACAGAGGAGAGCCCTTCAACAATGTTGAAGAGGAGCTCAAAACAAGGTATTTCACAGTTTATAGAAAAGTCCAAAACAACTCAAAAATAGGCCTAAAATACTATGCAAAAATAAGGCCTAAAAGAGAGCTAAAGAAGCAAGTGATAGCTGCTGGCCTCAAACAGAGAATATCACTTCAACAATGTTGAAGAGGGGATCAAAAAAAGATATTTCACAGTTTATGGAAAAGTCCCAAACAGCTCACAAACAGGCCAAAAATACTATGCAAAAATAAGGCCTAAAAGAGAGTTAAAGAAGCAAGTGATAGCAGGAGGCCTCAAACAGAGAAAGACCCTTAATCAAACATGAAAATGGGCTCAAAATATGACTATTTACACTTAGGGTCGGAGCCCAAAAATGCAAGCAACTAAGACTTATATACAAAGCAAAAAAAGACTAGAAAATGGAAGAAAGTGACTCACCCTTGTAGACCAATGCTACAACAACTTTTGAGCCAAGTTTGGGAGTTCTTCACCTCTGGAAAGCAGTCTCAAGTTGCTGGAATGGAGGATGGAGGTGTGGTGCTATGAGGTGGTGTAGAAATGGTGTAGGAGCAAGGTGGTTTTGAGGGTTGGAATAGAGGGAGAGAGAGATTGAGTGCAAGGGCTCAAGACCAAATTTTTGTAACCCCTCAAAATGCAGCTGAGGGGCTGGTTATATAGGCAAAGGAGGGGAGGAAAAAGAAGGGAAAATGAATTCAAATTTCCCCCCCAAAAGGGTCCCTCTCGGATACAGGATCTGAGGGGAAAAAGAGGTCACAGCTAGAAGGAACAAGGTGTGGGGGTCATGGCCGGCCAGGTTTTGGGGGTTCAGGTGGTCGGCCGACCACCTCCCATGGCTGGCCGACCAAGGGTCAAAGGGGTCAAGCAAAATTACTGGTCGGCCACCTCAAAAAGGTGGCCTCCCATGTGTGCACAACATAACTACGTGATTGAAACCCAAAAAAAAAGTGAACCAGGAGAGAGAAAAGACCATTTTTTAGAAGGGGTCAAAAGGGTCAGGAACAATTACTGGTCGGCCACCAAATATTGGTGGCCTCCCAGGTGTGTACATCACAAATATGGGGTCTAGGGTTCAAGAAAGTGGCCACGGGGTGGTCAACATTGGCTTTCAAGTGAGGAAAACAGGCGTCGGAGAGCGATGAAGAAATAAAACTGGTTTTTTGAAACAATTGCTGGCCTCCCACCCTTCTACAAGCTTCCTAACTATGAAAATAAAGTCTCCACCAAAAATGAACCCAAACCGATGCAAAACGAAGGTTCGAGGGCCAAAACACGTGGTCCGGGGGCCCGAAAACTGACTGTTACGCACCGGAGGTGGCGTTTGACCACGAAGTTGGTCTCTCGGGCCATAGTGTCCCCCAAAAGGGAGTAAATAAGGTGTGTACCAAAAACCGGAGCAAACGGAGATGGTTAGGCGGTCCCGAACCGAGGCACACGGCCGTCGGCTCCGAAAAAACTGAAAACCGGGCTCCAAACGGGAAAAATGGCCTACGACCACAAAACGTAGCCTACGGCCACTGAGAGATGATCTTTGAGGCCTCTCCCTCCCTTCGGGAAGAGAAAACAGAGAAAATAGAGCCTGGTTCGCAAACCGAAGCAAGGCACGAAAGAGTCCGGAAGTCCGGATGCAAGGCTCGCAGTCGAGACTCTGAAACTTCTGAACGAGCACAATATGCAATATCACCGAGCGCTCAACTGGTGACGTCTGAGTCTTAAGGTTGGTCAAAAATGGGGTGTCTACACATTATTTCCAACACAACATTCAGATAAAGATGTAATTTTATTTTTGTCTAAAATCCTAGCACGAATCTAAGCCACAATCCTCTCAGATAGATCGAATGAAAAAAAATGGACAAAAGATAATTTTTATTGTTATAGTTTGGGAACTAGAAGCTGAACTTCCTTTTGATTCTCTCCGAAGATGGCCAAGGGAAAGATCAAAAAAATAAAATAAAATAAAATGTAAAAAAATAAAATAAAGGCACTAGCTTCAATCAAACTCAGCACAATTTGCAAACTATGAAAAAGGCTATTTAAATAACAAGTGGGTATATTAAATTGTCTCAATACATTAAACAGTAATTACACGTGCTTTTTTTTCCTCTTTTTTTTTTTCCTTAACTCTTTTTTTTTTTGGGTTCTAAAGCTCTTAAATCTTCATAGTCTTGAATATGAATCATACATACACAGATGATAAATTATTCTGGTATCAATAGACACCTCACATAGTGCCCATCAATCACACCACCACCACCTCTTCTTTGTGTCCCTAAAAAAATTAAAATTACATGATCAAGAACCAAAGATTTTCATCTTCCACTAAAGACTCCACTAAAAACATGGCTGTCTCCTCCTAGTGATGCTTCCCACTCAACTGAGGAAACCAAAATTTGAGACAATGCCACAACTATCTCTCTCATCTCTGGTCTATTGATTGCATCTTCACTTATGCACCAGTCTGCTAGCTCTGCCATCTGCAAGAGTGTAAGATCATATGTTATATCAGTAATTCATATGTAAGAGTGAGGCTAGACCGGTCTGATTCTGTGACCAATTTCTATAGTACACACATCTTATTTTAATGTATATATATATATATATATATGGAGAAACATGAGTCTTAATAATCAATCTAGGTGTTTACATTACATCTCCAAGACATGTTTGTTATGGGAAACATTATTGAACATGGGCTAGGAGTAGAAGCACATTTAGGGCTTATTTGGTGAATTTTTTTTAAAATTAAAGATTGATAAGTAAAATGTAAAAGTTAAAAATCCATCCCAAGTTTTAAATAATTAATTTTTTCAGTTTATTTAAATTATTTTTATCTCACAATCTATTAGCGTTCTAAAAAAAGAGAAAGACAATAAGTAATTCCAATAAGTTGCATCAAACAATACCTTAATTGTTATGCAGCTTGTAAGTTGGTCCGGACCTATTTTACCTAGAATGTAGATCATTCTAGTACGGGGTACGGGGAACAAGAAAGGGAATGTGGTATGCCACATTCTCTAAAATGTGGTACGATAAAGGTAGAGTTGTATATATAATATACTTGCGAATTTAAGGTATTTTTAGAGTAATTTCTTTTAACTATTAGGCATCTAATAAAATTTTGTTTTTCTTCTTCATATGGCAAAATATTTCTATGAGTATTATGATCCATTTTTTATGTTTTTTCTTGTCAAAACTTAACTTACCTTAGATTTTAATCTATTAGAGCATCTCCAATGCACTAGACATATAATACTTGTTAGTTAAAATGTCTAGTGTGATTCATTTTTTTCAATTCCAATGCACTAGGCATATGATTAGGCATTTTGGCTCAACTCATATTCACTAGCTACATGTAGCTAGCCTTCAACGCTAGGCAAAATATATTCAATCATTAGGATCATTTCCCTCCATCTTTGTTGTTGATGTGGCATTCTATAAAATTAATAGTATTTGGATAAATAGCTAAAATAAAGAGCATGGTTGGAGTAAAAACATAAAACAGTTGATAGGCAAAATAAAATATATACTTTATAGTAATATTTAGATAGGTAAAATGCCTACTACCGTTGGAGATGCTCTTATATTTGATTTTTTCCTCCTAAAGAAACATTTAAGGAAATTTATTGGAAAAAACTTTTGGGTCCATTTCAGGTTGCTAAATTTACCGTTTTGAAACGGAAGTGTACCATATTTTGAAACGTGCGTACCAATACGTAATTTGCTACAGTATCAACGTTTTCTAGTAGCATTGGTCCGGACATCCGATTATCAAAAAATGAGACTCACCTTGTATACATCCTCCATGTGGTAGCTTCCTTTAAGATTGCCATCTATAATGGATAGCAATGCAGTCTCTGGTACCTTATCTTGGAAAATCTTGTTTACCTGATCATGTAATTGAATCAAACTTAGTTGCCACATTACAATGAGGACTAATTGCTTCAAATTGCATCAAGAACACTGAGAAATTTACCAGTATGTATTTACCTTATCTGATAGTGATTTCGAATTCTAGTAAATAAAACACTAGTTAGGCTTACAAGAGTGATGAGTGATTTCATTTTGTTGGGCTCCCGATTGTCACGGATCAGGGCACGTTGACCTGTTATGAGCTCTGCTAGAACCACTCCAAATGCAAAAACATCGGTCTTAGTTGTCACTTGCAGCTCCTTCACAGATCTTTTTATTTTATTTTATTTTAAGAAGCGCAAAAAGAAGAAAATTAATGTTGAATTACATTTTACTAAGTGAAATCAGTAAAAATGTGAAAAATCATTGTGTGAATAAATGCAAGAGATGAGAACTTACTCGGGAGGAAGGTATCCTGGTGTTCCAACAAGCCGAGTTGCAATTAAATCATCCTCGTTCGTTCGTCCAACAAACTTTGCCAATCCAAAATCTGCAACCTGTAAAAAACATTGGATCAATTTAGCAAATCCAAAGAACTGTGTTTGTTCATCTTAGGTAGTAAAACAAATAAAATTTTAAGTTTTCATTCTTTTCCTTGTTCTATGCTAGCTGATGCATTGGGATAAAGGATTAAATGAGATAATTACAATGAAAAAATAGAAACTTTTATGCATATTAGTTCCACGTGTTCCTGTTTATGTAGAACAAATTCAAGAATAAGTAAACTAATCTCCAAGATGTAAGCAACATATATACTAAATGAGTTGTGATGAATACCTTTGCTCTGAGCGTTTCATCGAGTAAGATGTTACTCGTCTTTATGTCACGGTGTACGTACCGTGCTTTAGTGTGATCATGAATATATTCAATACCCTTCGCAGCATCTAGCGCGATCTGTGTTCTTGCAGTCCAGGAAAGTGGCTGATGGTCTGTTTCAATAATTTGATGAGAATGAATAGACTATTTGTTTCTCGATTTCAGTTCAATTCTACATAGGCGTTTAGCAATTGGAATAATTGATACAATGTGAAAATTTAAAAATAAAATTGCTACAATTAGAACTAGAAAGGCCAAATTGACAATAAACCAAATAACATTACAGGAACTGCTGGTGTAATTTGCCATAATTTTTATATGTATAGAGTATTATAATGAATTGGGTTAGATTTCAGATTAAACCAAATATACCAAATTTAGATTTGGATTATGCTAAAACCAGTCTAAATTCAATCTATTGAGAGGCCTATGCTAAATAAATACCTTTGAGTAATGGATCATGAAGGTGATCACTGAGAGATCCATTTTGAATGTACTCATAAACCAAGTAGAGGTGGTCATCTCCACTGGCATACCCCAACAACTCCACCTATAAATACATATAGGCTTGATTGGTAAAAAAATGTTTTAACTTTGTGAAATCACATTAAATTTCATTTTGTAGGTATGAAAATGTTACTTACTACATTAATGTGATGTATCTTGCACAAGACCTTAAGCTCTGCAAAGAACTCCTTGGACTTGTTAGATCTCATCTTCTTGATCGCAACTTCCTGAAAACAAACAAAACAGAATGCACAATGACAGAGATAATTAGGTTGACAAGTCCGGATTTCTTGAAATCAAAGCTCTGATACCACATTAGATCACCAATTGTCCTAAAAACTTAAACTGTTAGGAAATGAGCCCAACAATGTATATCAAGCTAGCATAGCTAACGTGCAAGATAGATGAACTCGGGAAATAAAGGAAATAAGAAGACACGATAGAGACGGCCATACCTGTTCTCCTAGTACCCCAAAATACACGCTACCGTATCCACCCTCTCCGATTTTCCTAGTTTCATCGAAACAATTTGTGGCTGCTTCAATCTCCTCGAGACTGTATATGACTGGTCTTTCTGATTCAAAAACAGGAACATCTGTACACATGAAATCTCTTTTGGATGAGTTGATAATAGATTGGTATGACAAACAAAAGGGCAAATAGATTCTTTATTTTCTTGGACTTGGATTGTCTAACCTTCCATCTTTTCCTTATGCAGGAATTGGCTCTGCGAGGAGAAGAATTTGTTAGCAGTTGAGCTTTTCGATACTAATTTCGAATTTTTTTTGCTGTTTTTCCGATACATTTTTCTCCTGAAGAAGATCATGGCTAGTGTGCACGCTGAAAGTAATGCAACAGCTGATAGTATGCCAATTACTATAGTCCACTTGTGCCACTTTTTTGCTGATAAACCCCAAATAATAAGCCCACATGTTGTGGCTTTAAGTCCTAAAAAAAAAAAGGAAAAAAAAGACGAAGAATACACTCAGAAACATATACGAGTCCTGCAAAAAAAATTCGAATCTTGTTGATGCAAATAGACATATGTGTCATATTATTGTGTTTAATATTTTTTGGGAGTCAACAACAGGAAATGGTAGACATAATAGAAATGAAATGGATGGCCAAAACAGAATCACAATATCAGATCAGAAATTTTGAACATAGAATGAAAGAAGTAAATAAAGAGTGGTATCATAAACAATACTAATTAGGCAAATTATATCAGTAGTCATTTTTCCAAGTCGATCCTTACAATTTTAGTTGTCTCAGTTTGGTCCAATCAATAACGCCTGTTACTGAAAATTTTATGCAGGATCAAAATCGAACTCATTGAAACTGTATGGACCAAACGTAAGGACTATCAGTGTAATATGCCATATTAGTTTCATAAAACATAAATAGATAAAAAGCAGCAATTAATTGGAAATTCAAGCAATTTCCCGAACCTATATATATATTCATGAACTTTTTCAATTATGAATCCTCCTAATATTCCCCTATCATAAACACCAAAATTGAACTGTAAACATGTGAAGAGTTTCCCTAAAGATCATATTCATTTATACAACAGGAGAAGAATTGGAGTAACTATGAAAAGAAAACAATTAAAGCTTGAACCAAAGTTCCTACTAACCGGCCTTCGGGAGTGGAATTCCATTCTTCTCCATGGGCACAAACAATACCCAACCGACATCAATAAACCCTGGATTCATAGACACTATTGTGTTAAGGTTGTCAATCTCACTTATTCTAGCCGATAGAAGAGTTGCAATATCCGATACAGTATCATGAAGCTGAACTGTGTAAGTCACCACAATCTGAGACTCATTTTCCACACATCCACACAAAAGATCTATTTGAACTTCTTCTCCTGCTTGATAAGACCCTTCTTCTCCCCCGTGCCTCCAAGCCTGCCCGCTATAGAAATCATCAGAAACGTGCACAAACGTGTCATTCGGCTGCAATGTATACACTGTGCTATAAAAATAGCCTTCAACGACCCCAGACGTGCTATTCACTTGTTTGCAAGAACATGGCACTGTTATTAAGTAGTGTTTGTGGTTGTTGCCATCAACAATTGGGCTAATCTGTGATGTGTTGACAGAGTATAAAGTGGTGATTTGTTCTTTGCTGAGATTGTTGTGTTGGAAGAGTAAAGAAGTACAAGTGTTGATTCGCCTCAAGCAAGGAAGTTGGTTAACACCAGATGATTGGGAATAGACATCGGAGGCGAAAATTGTGACAAACAGAGTTATCAGAAGCGGCTGAAGAAAGGGAAGGGGCAGGAGATCCTTTGGAGCCATTGATTTGGGCATTCATTCATGTGAAGGAAAGAGAGAAAAAGAAATGGAATCGTGAAATTTTGAAAGTTGGGTAGTATTTTTCTTCTTTTCTTGTCTCACTTGTCATGACATTGGTGTTAGTTTTTGATACAAAGCTTATGGTTTATGGGTCCAGAGAGACCAACTTTCATATGGAAACTGCCAGTTCTGATATGGGTGCTAACAAAGAAAGAGACGACAAGTCCAAGCTTATGAATATTGATTTTGTAGTAAACAAGGACTCTAATAATAGTGAACTATATTAAAATTTTGTTATTAGTTGCATCCTTTAAGGTATTTTGTCGATGATTACAAGTTAATAATGGTGATAATATTTTGTCTGTGGTTCACCAAAATTGGGCACATCATTATTGGAATCAGCAAGGTAAAATGCGGCCGGAGGAGTGTGCACTACACATGTAAAAAGCCTTTGCTCATTTAAGGTTCGGCATCAGGCTGGGTGCAAAAAAGGTGTCCAAGCTTGCCCGTAGACTAAGCCTAGTGGGCTTTTCTATCGGGGGCGAGATGTGCCGTGGGACAAAACCTTAGGTCCAAGCCCTATCCAATGGCCTTGACCCAGGTGGGCTTGCAAGTCGGCCACCAGGCTGTCTCATATATACTACTGAACTGGCTTGCGAGCTTAGCCCAACTAACCGAGATTCAGGGGTATTTTTGGTTTTTGCTTTTGGTTGGCAGGCCAGATCGAGTTTCAAATCCTAGGCCCAAGCCTAACCCAAGCTTCATTCAAGTCAGGCCAATTTACCCAGGGTACTGGCTTGGGCCAAATAAAAGCACTGGGGGCTAGGCTTGGTCACGAGCCTTCCAGTCAAATGATGACCCTTAGGCCATGTTTGTTTGGGCGGACTGGATTAGCATTCCTATGACTAATAGTCTTAGGATTACGAATCCGTTGGATTATGTATCCTATCTTAACTAATAGTCAAGTTTAAAATAATTAGTCCCTACTTCAATGGTTTAACCAAACATCGGATTAATAATTTTATTGGACTATTAGTCAAATCCCAAGCTCATGTCCACCCAAACAAACATGACCTTAGTTTATTGTTGTCATTTGGTTCCATATACGAGTGGTAATTTTAAGCTATACCCACATGGTTGGCCGAGTGGCTAGGGGGATGAACATGAAAGCTTATGGGATAATTTTTAGCTGTTTCATGTTTAACTATTGTAGGGTCACAAAACACTCGGGCTTAACCAATACGCTATGAAGCACTAATACTTTAACATAGATATCATTGCCATGTTGAACATAGATGAGACACGACACGGTTGGGACACACCAGGACACATATAAGACACATCATGTGACTTGTTCATTTTTTCAATAATTTTGTTTTAGGGAACACGCTTTGGGACACAATGAAACCTTTTTTAATTTTTTAAAACTGATATTGAGGGTCATGTTATAATATTTGATAAGATGAGGGTTGAATTTAAAAAAATATGTATATATATATAACTCATATCAAATCATCAATAACACATCACAGATTTAATCACAATTGTGAAGTTAAGAGACTAACTTCTAACTATCTATGTAGCGTAACGCAATACATATTTAATGACTTATTTCAATTTAATTTATTTTTTACGTTAAAGTATTGTCAATTTTCATTAACTTTAATTATTATGAATGTAATATTTGTATACATAAAAAAAGTTATTCAGATTGTTTGGTTTGAATTTTTTGAATTAAGTTTTTAAAAATTAAGTTTTTAGTTTTCGTATTTTTTTGTTTTTAGTGAATATTTTTAAATATTTTTTTTTACTTTTTTAGATGCACCTTATTTAGATGTATCTAAAAAGTAAAAAAATTATGAAAAAATATTTTAAAAAATTAATAAATACATAAAAATATAAAAAATGTACTGAATTCTCGTTTTTTTTTTTTGTATTTTTGATATTTAGTGAATTTTTAAAAGGTTTTTTTCACAATTTTTTTACTTTTCAGATATATTTATGTTAGGTATGTCTAAAAAATTTTTAAAAAAATTGTTTAAAATATTAAAAAAATTTAGTAAAAATAAAAAAACACGAAAAATAAGAAAATAAAATTTTCTAAAAAATATTTTTGAAAAACTCTAACTAAACAAAGTGTTATAACCTTACTATGGCTTATTTTGGAAAGATGGTAAAAAGTAGCTTTTTGACTTTTAACCAAGCTTTTGGATTTTTTAGACAAATGATTTGAGAAGTTGATAAAAAATTACTTTTGACTTTTTTGATTAATATTTGTTTATGACGTCAAATCACAATAAAATAACAAAACTACCCGCATTCAATTTAAAATATTTACAACTTCATCCATGTAGCACATTTTGACTCATGAGAGGTAGAATTGAAATTTCACTAGTAATTAAAAACCAACTTCCCAAATGAAAAAATAAAATTAAAAAAAAAAAGCCAACTTTTAACTTTTGCTACAAACAAGCCAAGTTTCCAAAAGGGTCTGGCTTTGGTCCAGTCCACTATTGGACTGGACCGTGTTGTTGGGCCCATGGGGGCCCATCACCGGTTTCGTTTTGAAAATCTGAACTGTCAATGTGTGGAACTCTTCAAGTACTATATGCCTGTAAAAAATCACGTTGATCGGATATCGATAGCTGTGTGATCAAATCAGTTTCGTATAAAAAAAAATGGACGGTGAATAAATTAACGGTTGGAAAAAAAACTGATTTGATCACATAGCTATCGATATCCGATTAACGTGATTTTTTACAGGCATATAATACTCGAAGAGTTCTATATATTAACGGTTCAGATTTTTAAAACGGAACTCACAGTAAACCCTCACAAACTTAACAACACGGTCTAATCCGATGATGGACTCGACCAAAGGGAGACCCTTTCCAAAACACTCCTATGTTTGTGTCTGCATGTCTGACTCTCATAAGACTGCTTTGCAGGTAATTGTACGTTTTACAATTTACACTGAATGATAAGGTGGACTGGTTGGAGTTTTCTATCATTAAAATTAATAGAAAATAAAAAGGGGGCATTTTTATGACCAATACTTGGGAAAACATGGGAGCTGTCTTTGTGGGTAGTTGAGTGTATCGTATTTTATACATAGGCTTTGCTATTTCCGTCTATTACGGTCGGTCTTATAGACCACATTGTTTACCTGTTTCAACACTTCCCCTCTATAAAAAAAAACAGTTTCTAAAAATGGAAATTAAGGGCATTAGGGGCAAATTTTTTAGGGCCACCAATCATTTTCCTTTTATGACCAATACTTGGGAAAACATGGGAGCTGTCTTTATGGGTAGTTGAGTGTATCGTATTTTATACATAGGCTTTGCTATTTCCGTCTATTACGGTCGGTCTTATAGACCACATTGTTTACCTGTTTCAACACTTCCCCTCTATAAACCAAAACCACACTTGTCATATGAAATTCTTAGAGTATCTCCAATGGAATACTCAAAATAATTGTTAAAGTTATAATTTAATAATAGTGATAAAAAGTGAGCTTTCAATAACTTGTTATTTTACTTGTCAAAGATGACATATGTCATATTTGTTCTCAAATTTAACAAGTAAAATAGTAATTGCCAAACATGTCATATCAGCAAATATGAACATATTTGTGACTCCAAATTCAGTTGAAAAAATAGAATTGAAACAGTAGAACACCAAATAATTTTTCAAATTTAATTTTTCTATCAATTTTTCAAATTTAATTATATTTAATTTTTATTCTAATTTTTCAAATTTTTTTGATTTTTTCTATTTGTTTAGTCGGAAATAATATAAATATATAATTTTTTTTACAAATAGTTAAAAAAATGTCATAAAAGACAAAAAATAAATAAAAATAAAATCACAAAAAAATCTATATCCAAACAACACCTACAAATTTGGAGGGAAAGTTGATTGAGAATTGCCAAAATAGCAAGTGACCATTAGAGCACCATTGTTATAATTTGGCAAAATAGTATTATTCATTGTAGCAATAGCAATAGCAATGGTATTACAGCAATAACCATTGGAGATGCTCTTAACAGATGATTATTGGGTAGTGTAGGAGTACGATCACGTAATATTTTATGATAGTATGATTGGTTAAAAATGTAAAGTATTAATTATTTATATTTAGTAATTGAAAAATATAAGAAGATATGAAAATAATTTATGAGAGAGTGTAATCATGTGATACTCGAGAAGTATTATATAATTTTTCATTGTTAACTTAGCCACATTTTCCTTGTTAACTTAGCTGTTGAAATTGTTTCCTTATGAATCAGGGCGTCTATCATCACTTTTTTTCTTCAATAATTTTTTTTTATTATTTGATTATGAGCTATTGTGATGTTAACTGTGACTTAGTTATAATTCATTGCAAAGTTAGTTATGATTTAGTTTTGATTTATTGATGTTGTTAATTTGATTATGACCAAAGAGGTCTTTATACCTTAAGTGATATTTGATTATCACCCGTGATTATAATATTGGTGTTGGTTATGATTTAATTATGACCTATTATAATTGTAATTGTAATTTTGGTTATGGCTCCGCTACATAGCTCGAAATATCAATGATTCGAATGGCTCGAAATCCCAAAACAACGTCGTTTTAGGATTTTTTTTTATTCTCTTACCGGTAAGATAATATTTTCCGTACCATTCGAGCTATTCGAGCTCTACACATTCGAGCTACGGATCATTTTCATTTTGGTTATAACAAAAAAGGTTATTGGTTATCTCTTAAAGGTGGTCAGAAAGGAATTTAATTATGATAATTTGTGATATCAACAATACAAATTATCATAACCTGCATATAATATACTTCTTTTTGAGAGATCTATTACAAAATTACCCATATATATAATGTTGGTTATAGTTATCCCTCACATTCCACCTGTGTTCCGAGCCTCGAATTTGCAGGCTAAGGACACAATTTTTTTCTAGTATTTATGTCAGTTTAGACCCCAAAAAATAAAATAAAATAAATAAATAAATAAATATTGGATCTCCCTTATAGAAGGCATGAAAGAAGCTCCACGTGGCGTGTTTCTACCCTTTTAGATTTCAAAGAGGAAAATTGTCAAGTTTTGAATTTGATGGTCGAGTTAGGCTCCAAAAATTATATAAGAATAT